TCCAAGTACCATTAACACCTGCCGTGTGTAAACCAGTATGTCACATGATTCGGGTATATAAAAAATCATGTAACAAAACAGCCTTAGCATTTTATGCCCTAAAGCTCAAGGGAAGGACGAAGGTGACCCTACCTGATTGGGATGCAGCTGCGCTCTATGCACCAGAGCCACATGGGATGTCCCATATGCAACAGGAAGTGCACCAGCCGCCACTAGATCACACCCATCAGGTACTCGAAACCTTCAATTATAAGCTAACTTAAGACATTTTTGAACACTAAAACCATAAAACTAACCCAAAAGTAAGAAAAAAAGCATAACTCTGGTTTGTCTCATATACAGTGACCATTGACCTATGTCATGCGAAATCAAGTAGGGGTACACTTCCCATTCTTAGCAAATTTTTAGGGGCCGCTTGGTTACAAGGACTAGGGAGGTTATCCTAGTATAATATTTGGGATTATCTATCCTAGACCTGGTTTTGAACCAAATGATCCCTAGAGTATATTGATAGATATGCACTAGTATTCAAGCACACCCCACCCTTCCAGACTCCACTTGTGGGAACTCACCGGGTATGTTGTTGTTGTTGTTGTTGTTGTTGCACTAGTATCCAAGCCCTATTACACTAATTTCAATTGTTTAACCAATCAATCAATCAACTGTTAGAAAAATAATTTGGTAACTCAAAAAGAGATATTCAAATTGTTGTCTAGGTTTATTCTTGTTATATTATATGAATGGATCTTTATTATACTATTAATTTGAATATATTTAATGTGTGTAATAGTAAATTTGAATAGCTTTGAATATAATATTTTTATTAGTTTTAAATGGCTATTATTATTTATTATGGCTATCAAAATCAACTAATTTTTTGAATCTGACCATTTGGTAACGTTCAATTCTTAATGGCCTTTAAATATGTAACGTTTTTTGCCTTTGGTTTTGTAACGATTCTTTCTTGACAATCATATGTCCACTTTGGACTATATATATGTATATTGTGTTCTTTTTAAAAAAGGTGTGAAAGAGTTGAAAAAGCAAACACTTTTCTTCTCAATTTCTTTTTATTGTGTTGGGTTGTCTTTGATTAATCTTTGTTGTTTCTGCTCCTAGTTTATACTAGAAGAGCTTGTTGAATCCTGGGGATACGCCTAACTTTATTCATTACGGTGTGAGAGTATCTTTGATACGCCTCAAGCTATACCTTTTATTCTCCATAATCATCCAATTTTTCCAACATCAACTACACCTCAAATCGAACTAGTAATAGTGGAATCTATAAACCATTTACCCATTCTTCTATTATGCCCTTTCATTTCTATATAAAAGGAGAGTGCGGTCTAAACCACCAAAATCAATTCCAATACTGATAGATAAACTTCGAAAACGAAAACTGCTATTGAGTTGTTTAATTATTGTAAAATAAAGCAGAAGAGTTTAAGGAAGAACTGACAAGTCGGATTGATCGGCGACGATGAATTGAGCAAAGGAGCCAAGTGCAGCAAAAGAGCAAACGGGATCACCAATTTTGAACTTAGTAACATTAGGGCCAACGGCATCAACAACGCCGGAGTAATCGGAGCCAGGGATGAAAGGTAAAGGAGGTTTCTCTTGGTACTTGCCGAGGACTTGGAGGTAATTTGCGAAATTCAAGCTGGTTGCTTTGACTCGTACTCTAACGGAGGTAGGTGAGCCCAAATTAGGGATTGGATGAGAGGTTGAGAGATCGAATGGTGAATTCTCCGAGGCATTCGGTGGTAGAGTAGGATCGCCGAGTTTTCTTACAAGTAGAGCTTCCATTTTCCACAGTATCTTTTGTGCATCTACACTCCAGATATGCTCGGTTTCTGTAATACGGTTGTTTGGTTTTTGAGATTCTATAAAATTTTAGTCTCTATTTTGTTTTTCTCTTTTTTTTCCTTTTCAGTGTATTTAATTTAATTGACATCTCGTTTTTTGGTATGTGCTATCACGCATTATGGAAACTCTAGTGAAAATGACAAAATAGTCGATTATGTAAAAAACATGAATATATTTTGAGCAGTTTTGATCATTTAAATTTATCAAAAATAAACATATTTAATTCCCGTGAAATATGTAACAAATTTTGGCGATTATATTTCGCAAAAAATAGCAATAAAATGATTACAACATATAAATTTATTATATGGCAAACTCTAATGCAAAAATACACTTTTCTTATTTCTTTCTTGTTTTCATTTAATTTTTAAAAAATTATTTTTTAGAAAGGATTAAAACAACAACAACAACCCACTAAAATCTTATATGTGGGGTATAATATCTCAGCTTAGATACTAAGAAAGGAATCAAAGGATTAAAAGATAATGTAAATAAAATTTATTTTGCTTTTAACAAGAAGATTTTATAATTATATAGTAGGTATTATGATATATTTAAGGCCATAAATTATATGACATGTTTAGAGTAACTTATTGTTATTATTATTATTATTATTATTATAAGCAAACACCAAAAAGATAAGCTAAAAAGTGCAGCTTACATTTAGCCACGTCTATTGTCCCTTTTGTATCGGAGGTTTAAATACTCAATTACATGCTCGAGTCTGACTGTCAATTACCGGAAGACCAGCTGACCAAAGTGATTTGGCGGAGTGTCTATTTTGAGAAATTAAAACATGAGTATTTGTGTACTTCATCTGCTGCCTAATTGTCTCGCCTATCCTCAATTGCAATTACAAACCAGGAGGAAGCAAATTCCTTCTATTTGGAGAAAACCCATCTTGAAATCTTTCCCAATTATAGCCTCTGCTTCTTCTACTTCTTTCCCACCTGCTGAATATCCAGGTAAATAGCTCTAATATCTTTCACCATTTTAACTTATTAGTTGATTCAAGTCAGTAAGATACTCAACCATATTCTAAGATGAAACATTCTTTTCTATCCTTTTCTGTTAGTACTACTCATTTATTTCATATGACATTGTTTGATTTTTAACTTTACTTGTGTCTGTTGGTTTTCTTCCATTAGTGTAACTGTGATCCTAGTAAGCTTATGCAAAGAAGACAAAAATTACTTCACGGTATGGATTTCTTAATGCTTCTGAAATAATCGAAAAAGTATTAGGAACTATATGAAAGTACTAATGCCAATTTGTTAAGTTGAAAGTATTTTAAAATAATTTGAATTCGTTTTACCCCTATTGGATATTGGTATATACCAGATTTCGTTCTTACATTAGCAGTTCACAAGTTGCAGTTCTGTCTAATTTTTTATAGATAATTTTGATGGCTGGAATTATAAAATTTTAACAAAAAAAATCCGATGTTTGTTTTTGAAAACATTCTTGGACAATGAAAAAAAAAGTCTCATGTTCCATATGAGGTTGAAACCAAACTCCTCCTTGGGAAGATAGCTGTGGCAATTGTGGTGAGATCCGATGCAGATCCAACTTTTGACTCACTTCTGGGATCCAGGCAGTCAAGGGGGCCACAACGGCTCCTCTCATCTCAAGAATCCATACGTATTGTTGTCAAAGAAAAAGTATATTTGACTTCTCTAATAGTAGTAGCAGTCCTTTTCCGCTGGAGAGAATATACACGCGTGTGTGTGTGTATATATATATATATATATATATATA